CCCAGGAGGCTGCAGAGCCTGAGTGTGGGGCAGCAAGAGGCCCAGGGAGAGCTAGGGCAGTGACTTCTGCTTCCACCCACAGGGGCTGTGGAGCTGAGCCAGGGGAATAGGAACATCAGCCTCCTTCCAGGCCCGCGCATGCTCATGACTCCTGTCCTTACTCACGTTGACCCCACAGCCTGTATCCTGATATATTTATGTTTCCCTTCTCTCCCGTAGTGCATTTCAGAGGTGGATGTAAAGAAAATTCTGATCTTTTAAAATAGATTTCACAAGGGGGAGGGAGCGGCAGGGATGAATTCACCAGGAGATTGCTTTTAAAATAGGCCACTGTGCACCTCAGGTATTTGCCTTTGGTGCCAGCTCCAAGGACAGCCCTTTCTGAGAGGGCCACATGCTATTTCTATGCCTTTGACTCTCACACCTGAGGGGAGCTTGGTCTAATAATGATACTCGTGGTTGGATGTGTATGTGGAGATGAGTGAGCCAGAGAGAGAGAGAGAGTACATTGAAACCGGACAGGGGATGGTTCCTGAATTACCCTCAGATGAGTATCAGTTATCATGAGTGAGCAGGCACAGTGTGAGCTACCTGAAGCTGACCAGGGGGTGGCCCCTGTGCTGGTCAACAACTAGCCATAACCCTGGGCCATGTGTGGGCTCAAGCGGTTCCTAGTGAGCTGACTGGAGAGCTTTACAACCGTGTGGCTTCATGGTGGAGCTCAGGGGTGTGTGCGTGTGCGTGCGTGCGTGCGTGCGTGCGTGCGTGTGTGTGTGTATGTGTGTGTGTGTGTGTGTGTGCTGGGGGCAGGTCAAACCTCAGAGGGGGGTCATCTTGGTAATTCACAGAGCAGGTGGGATTTCCTGGCTGGAAGTACCCCCACTTTTGTGGCCTCTGCGTCCTGATCTTACCTGTGGACACTGCAGGTCCCTGACAGTGGAGCTCCTTCCCAAGGGAAAGTAACTTCTTCCCCCCACTATTCCATCAACCGGAGACAGCAAGCAGACCAGCTGGACACAATCCCAGCCCTGTGAGGAAGGGCTCAGTGGTCAGAGAACACTCCTGTGCCAGGAAGGGACACCTTCAGTCTGTTCTGTTGTTCTTTTGCCTTTTGTTTTTCTAACAGGGTCTTATATTGTCTAAGATGGCATTAAACTCACGCTGAAGATCCTTCTGATGGTCCTGCCTTCAACTTCTGAGCTCCAGGACTAAGGGTAGGCACTATCACACCTGTTTTATGGCATGTTGGGGATGGAACCCAGAGATAGGACATGCTAGGCCAGCAGTTCCCAGCCACATGCCCTGGCTACATCCCTGGCCCAGACATCATTCTTAAAACCTGAAATGGTACAATTACTTGTTCATACAAGTGGAAAATGTAGGAACAGGTAAGCTTAATTAGAACAGCTGCATCTGGCTACAGGGGGAGAGGGGCTATTCAGAACATGTGAGATGTCAAAAGTCAGAGAGACCTGTCCGTCTGTCTCTCTGCCTTGCATTCTTTATGCTTAAGTTAGCTTTCTCCAAGGGGACACTGGTGGCTCTAATAACCTCCACAGACTTCCCAGTCTCCTATCAGGAAGATTAGCCATTTGGGGCCAGATGCCCTACCTTGTGCCAGACAGAACCTTAGGATAGACAGAGAGGACTGGCCAGCCTGGGTCATGGGTCCACTGCTGTTTCCAGCACATCCAGGGCTGGTCATCTCTATAAAGAAACACAAAGATTTGATCCCACTGCTCATGGCCACACCAGAGGGCCAGAAGGCCCTAGGGAGAGAAAGTGTGCTGGCTAGTTTTTCTAAATTTTATTTTATTTTTATCAACTTGACACAAGCTAGAATTATCTAGGAAGCAGAACCTCCATTGAGGAAACATCTCCATCAGATTGCCTGCAGGCAAAGCCTGTAGGGTGTTTCCTTGATTGATTGATGTGGGAGGGCCCAGCCCACTGAGGGTGGTGTCATTCCCTGGACAAGTGAAAGCAGGCTGAGCAAGCCATGGCGAGCAGCCCTCCTCCATGACCTCTCTTTTATTCCTGTCCCGATTTCCTACCCAGATTTCCCCCAGCGATGGGCAGTTACTGGAATCTATAAGGTGCAATGACCTCTTTTCTCCCCATGCTGCTTTTGGTTATGGTGTTTTATCACAGCCATAGAAACCTCGACGAAGACAGAAAGTCTTCCTAATATTTGTCCCGAGGCTCCGACTCTACTCCTCTGCTTCTTTCTATTGGAAGGGGCGGGGGAATAAAAGCTGTGGCTTTCAGGACCTGCCTGGCCAAGACCTGGGAAGGGTTCAAAGAGGCCTGTCCAGCTTGCCAGCTTTGATCTGGGATGGGAACTTGCTGAAAACACAATCAGAAGGAATGTGTGTGATCCCAGGTATGTGCAATTTCTATCTTGGATAGAAAGTGGCGTTCTGTTGCCAGCCGAGAAGTCTCCTGAGGTTCAAATGCCCCCAAAGCACCTCTCTTTTTGTCTGGTTTGCACCTGTTTGGCAAATCTACCCCTGCTTTGCTTATCTGGAATCCTAGAAGATGAGAATACAGGGGCTACTTTGGGCCTAGGTGGAGGTTTGGTGACATTAGGACAATCTCAGGACAGCTGGGGCTGGGACTTCAGGGTTTGGTGGTCCCAGTTCAGCTAGACTGCTCTGTGTTTTTGGGTAAATTGCGTCTCATTTCTGGGTCCCAGTTTGAGCTGTCTCGGTAGCCTCACGGCATCTGTACAGGGCACAGGTTTTGGCTAGCTAGCCCTGTTCACCTTTACTCTGATGTTGGTTCAAACAAGCGGAATATGATTTATAGTCATTTCCAAATGTCAGACATCCAAATCCCGGGTCCAACCTGGGAACAGAGGCAAGACAGAGCCTCTCACTGGATGATCTACAGGAAGGAACTTCAGGCAGAGGGGCGGCCACGGGGGTGCGGGGTTGAGGGGCGGCCACGGGGGTGCGGGGTTGAGGGGCGGCCACGGGGGTGCGGGGTTGAGGAGCGGCCACGGGGGTGCAGGGTTGAGGGGCGGCCACGGGGGTGC